TTCTGGAGTTTAGGGTGGCCGCCGGGCAGACCCGATGCAGTACACCAGCCGTTTTTTGTTGCTTGCCGGCTGCGCTTGTAAGCCCGCAGCCGTGAGTGAGTGAGCGTGCAGGGCGGCAGCGGAGCAAACAATGAAGCAGCAGGAGAAGGGCAAGGGCAAAACAAGCATCACCCCAACAGGCGCCTGTCGAAAGCCCTTGAGCAAGTAAGCATGAGTCCGTGAGCATCGGCGAGGCCGCGGAAAACAACACAGCATGAAAAAGAAATCACCCTTCCGGCAGGGCCCCACCGAATCCTGCAAGAAAGCCCGCGCAACGGCCGCGAGTGAGTGAGCGTTGGGCACGGCCAAAAGGTCTCAAAAAAAGAGTGCACAGGAATCTTATCAAAAGTCTTTTTTTTTTGCACGGCCGCCGCCGCAGGTTGCAGAGCCAACAAGCTCGGAACACAAACAAACCTCTAATGCCAGCGGGCAGAGAGCAAAAAAGCTTCCAGGACCCAGTCGCAGCGGCCAGCAGCAACAGGGTTTAGGATTTTCGATTTTAGGGTTTAGGGTCTAGACACCCAGGGTTTTAGGGTTGGGGGTTTCCGGGTCTGGGCTACTTGTGTATTGTTGCTCGTACGAGTACTTCCTGCTGCGGCGCTACTGAAGGCCTCGCGGAGTGCAAGTGGCGCAAAATGGCGAGGTCAAGTGTCAGAAGTGTCAGAAGTTGCACAAGTGGGGTATAACGAGGATGCCATAGCTCGGGAGGTTCGCGGGGCACAAGTGGCCAAGTTGGCAGACATCAGTAAGCGGTTTCCGTTTTCCGTACATCTTCCACAGGGGTTTCGATGTTTGTAACAGAGTCCTATCCATTCAGTTGTGCGCGCTGACCTCTCGTATTTAATTCAAGAACGTGTGGCTATGTATGTGTTGCATTGTTCCTCCATTCGTTCCAGAAAAGTTTACGAATTACGGCTACGACGAACCAGACTATCAACGGTAAGCTGACATAGCCTAGAGAACTTATACCAAGTACTATAGGGCCCTAGATAATTACCAACACTTCTCATATACCCCAACCTGGATCGTCCCAGGTGGCCTGCTTTATGCCCCTACGGTTTTCGCGTGCCTTTTACGGCCTTTGTTCGGCAATGGTGAATTTACGCCTCTTTGAGTTTTTAGAATCTCATCATCTCCCTGGGTAACACCATTTGACCTGATTTACGCCCAGCGGTTTTCGCTTGCCTTTTATGCCCCTTTGTTCGGCAATGGTGAATTTACGCCCCTTGTTTGGTCTTTCTACGCTTTTTCGATGCTTGTTCTACGCTTTTTTTTATGTCTCTTTGGCGCTGGTGTTCTGAGAATTTACGCTCTTTATGGCTTTGATTTTATGCATTTTTAGGCCCCTTGGCACAATTACGCTACGCCCTTTCTTTCCGGTAGACGACATTTTTTTCAAACGACCAATACTTGCTTATACTTTTGGCGACACAGGAAAACCCTATTCTAATTATTAAGGCCCCTATACTGCTGGTGTACTATGCCAGTGGGTCATGGCATTGTTACGATTATGGCTGATTGCATGTAGTCCTTATACGATCATGACGGACCAGGGCTCTATGGTGAGCAAAGTCAAGAAGCAGAACGATGACCAGATTCGCATTGCTCTTCCGGGCTAGGCATCAAGTTATGTCTTTTCGATCCGAATGCACCGTGTCTCCAAACAAGAATGGTGGTACCAGCGACAAGAACGCGGGGGATCAGCGAATAAGCAGAGCCCTCTCAACCAGCGATGTTCGTATCGAAGTTGTCATAGACCGTTTGTTTGTTTTGTCAGTATTACCGACAGAGTCATTTATCCGAGGATTTCCGATTTGGCAAGTTTGATGGTTCAAAGGCTACCTCCTTCCACCCGACAGGACGTGCAGCGAAACTCCATTACTATGGCCCGTACCCAAGGATGGGTTTGGGTATATCGTGCGAATTTCAATCCTTGTAGAGGCAGGACGGTTGGGAGTTCAGGGTTACAGTAGTGGTGGGATCAGATATTCCGGCCTCGGATGGTGGGGGTTGGCGCTTAACTTAGTTTGGGTTCAGTGCTTTTTCTTGCTTTTGTGATCGGGAAGGTCTGCAAGCGATGGAGCTCAAAGCTTGGAGGTTTACCCTGCGGCCTCAGGCCATGCAAACTTTTGCCCTGTCTTTGATCTTTGCCTAGTACAGATGGAGTAGAAGTGTTTTTGCTTCTCTTCGAAGTACCTGTCTGTCACTGTCAACCAGTCCTAGCAGCCCTAGCAACTCCCAAACCACCGAAGCAGGGCCGTGCCGCCTAAGGCTTTGAACATGATGCTGGACAACTACAAGCTCGCGGACCAGGCCATCTGCGGGGCTTCAGCTTGATGAAGGCTGTGCGGTTGTGATCCAAGGTAGGTGTAGGAATGTCAGGGTTCAGGCGAAAGGCGCTCCGAGCTTGTGGAACTCTCAGATCTATCATTATGTCTGACTATAATGATTCTAAGGATTTGAGCAGAATCGGCTTGAGAAGTGCTTCCGATTTCCGTGTATGGGTCTGCGGTCTATTGAAATTAGTAGGGATAGGATTCCATGAGGGCTTCCTGCCTGATTGCTGACATTAGTTAGTGGCTTAGGTAGTTTAGGATCTATGTGCTAGGATGATAGGATTCAAGTCGTAGGACTCTGTTTGCAGGGTTAGGTCGCCGGATGTCGGCCGCCTCGGAATATCTTCCATGACTAACTCGTGCTGGTGACTCCTATCATGATTCCGCTGACCGAGATTCACCATGCATCCGAATTCGTTTTCTTTCCTAAACTTGTATTGTTAACGGCACCGACATCAGGTCAGCCCCACCTAGCCCTCCGCAAAGACTTCGGGAGGTTCTGACATCAGCCTTCCTCGGTTGAGTCGAGATATTTGTTTGAACATCGTTGTGGGTTCACAGGATGGCTTTCCGAGGAAAAGGGGGCCGGTGTTACCAGGGCGATCGGAAATAATTGCTGCCCAGGTGTTGGAGCTTAGGCTCAAGCCCTTGTGTTCTGAATTGCGATGCCGACACCATAGCATAAACCCAAGGCCTTCGTAAAGTCCGTACTGCTAAGGTGGTGGCTGCATCCGGCTACGTCGAGCCAAAGGCCAGTATCATGCAGGCGAGAGTTGCCGAAGACCTTCGACAGGGTTGCTGTCTTTGCGGACCCTCAATGTTGCATCTGGAGATTTGGGCTCACTGTGTCTTTCTACTACGACGACTAGTAATACTACTCTTACCTGCCATCATTCATGACCATTACCAGCAATACTAGTATTGCTACTACTACTACTACTACTACTACTACTACTACTACTACTACTACTACTACTACTACTACTACTCCTACTCCTGCTCCTACTCCTACTCCTACTCCTACTCCTACTCCTACTCCTACTGCTACTGCTACTGCTACTGCTACTGCTACTGCTACTGCTACTTCTTGTACCTCTACTTTTACTTCCACGCCTGCTCCTACCTCTACTGCTCCTGATCCTGCTCATGCTGCTGCTGCCCTACTGCCGCTGCTGTTGCCGCAGCCACTGCGGCTGCGGCTGTTACTGCTCCTTCTGCGACCGCTACTGCAACTGCTTTCTTCCGGTCGCAGCAAGAGGAACTCGCTTCGCGTCAGCGGCATTCTGACAGGGCCCGCTTCCCCGGCGCATCGCGACCCTGGAAATCTCTTCCAGGTCCCAGAATGTAGTGCTACTGCTGCTACTGCTACTGCTACTGCTACTGCGAATCCTCACTACTTTGTACGCACTACGTAGTACTTAGTATTTACTACTTACTGATAAATTTCTACGTACTACTTACTATTCACTACTTACTTCTTCCTACTTACTTTATACTAATTACTACCTACTATTTACTACCTACTTGGTACTGAGTACTTACTACTTAGTACTTCGTACATACTACGTACTACTTACTACGAACTACGTACTACTTACTACTTACTACCTACTTCTTACTACTTACTACTCACTACTCACTACTTACTACTACTCACTACTTACTTATTACTTTCTGCAGCCTACTACGTCCTGCTTCCTACTTACGGCTTACTACTTACCTACTTAGTACTTACTGCTTACTGCTTACTACTTACTACTTACTACTTACTAGTGCTACTACTACTGCTACTACTACTACTACTCCTACTCCTACTCCTACTCCTACTCCTACTGCTACTGCTACTGCTACTGCTACTGCTACTACTACTACTACTACTACTACTACTACTACTACTAGTACTACTACTACTACTAGTACTACTACTACTACTACTACTACTACTACTACTACTGCTACTACTACTACTACTGCTACTACTACTACTACTCCTACTACTACTACTACTACTACTACTACTACTACTACTACTACTACTGATACAGATACAGATACAGATACAGATACAGATACAGAGACAGAGACAGAGACAGAGACAGATACAGATACAGATACAACAACTACTCCTACTACTACTACTACTACTACTACTACTACTGCAGCTGCTGCTGCTGCTACTACTACTACTACTACTACTACTACTACTACCACGACCAGTACTGCTGCTACTACTACCACGACGAATAAGGTAATGGTAGGACCACGAGGACGGAGTGAGTGCATCGGCAGAAGCATCATATCGCTTCGCATGCTTCGGGATCATAGAAGCATTTATGCTCTGAGTTCACGTAATGCTCTGATCATCAGCTTGACCCCCTTCCGCGTGTGTACTGTCATTGCTGTTTCTATACTTATAGGACTTACTGGTCTGACTAGAAGCAGCATTTGCATTTTGTCGCTTCGTTTTGTTCGCAGTTGTTCTCAGTTGTTCTTCCCGAAGCTTGCTAGTATCGTCTTCGCATGATGTCGCGAGTTTGTTTTTGGTCAGAGACCAGCTGTGCTCTAACATGATTCCCCCTGGAACAGCTAGCTGCCCTTTCCAGTGGTAGCTTCAGACAGCTTGCCATGCGGTGCTGGTCCTGCCTCAGATTGTTTGGCCTTTGTGCAACAGTGCGGCTGTTGGATTTCTGCCAACGCAACGGCCAATGCGCAGATGGCAACCATCGCAGAACTCGAAGTCGTCGGGGGGCTGGAGCTCGGATCTTGACGCTCCAGCACACAGACTTCCACACCGCTCCACCGTGCAGCATAGAGGTCTTCGAGACTGTTGTGGGAACCGTTCGAGACCAAGATGGTCGTATCCGGCTTGGCGCTCCCCCGGCATTTCGCCTGCCTTCGCATGGAGTGTTGTTAGAGAAGGAGGAGAAACGCACCTCCTTCCATGCCACGAACTTCAAGGAGAAGGTGTGGCAGATGGTGCATCAGGGAGGGCCAACTGCCCGGAAAGCAGTTGCTGCAGCCCAATTTGTAATGCCCAGAAAGATACTGATACAACTTCTCAGATGGGTAGTGCTAGATCGAGACTTTGCAGAAAGGAACTGGTATGACACCATGAAGCGCATCGTTTGCATGCCCACCGTGTTAGAGTGGATTTCACCGGAAAGGGTTGGTTACGAGACCTGCTTGGCGGCCTTTGCTGTTCGGGCTCGGACTGAGAAGTGGAAACGCTGGGCGGATTACAGCCAAGCCTTCGAGCGTCTCGCTGCGCCGGGCAAGATTGGTGATAACCACGAAATAGTCAAATTTGTCCTTGGAGACTTAGATGTGGCAATCTACACGGAAGTGGACTCTAGAAGTGATTCAGGTGAAGCGGTAGAGCTGAAAACGGTCAGCCCTCGAAAGAAAGAGGCGTTTCGGACATCGCGGGCTTTGAACACGTATTTCGACCTATTGTTTTCAAACTGTCAACGTTTGTGTTTGGGTGTCGTTGACAAAGGCAGGCTGACTGAAGTGACGGAGATGAGTATCTCCGATTTACACAACTTGCTGACAGAAGCTGGAGATGATCCCAACATCATCTTAGGGAGGCTGGCCGCGGCAATGAAGGTCATCTACCAGTCTTGCACGACAAAGCGAGCACAAGAGCAGATGGCTGGACCTTACGAGCTTCGTTACCAGGATGATGTTTTGAGTCTGTGGGAGCTGGAGGTAGCTTGAAGCCAAACGGGCCCACGACTCATGCTCCCCCATGGACCTGCTATGTTGGACCAACGGGATCTTGCCAACACTTACCTTGAGTGTACGATGTCGGTGGTATGTTTGCTGCAACAATTCGACAAGCACATCCCGTAATTCCGCTTTCTCGGACTTTGCTTTTGGAGCCAGTATGCAGTTTTGAGGCTTTGCATGGAGCTTTCCCAAGACATTAAGACGACATTGATACCGATCTTACTCAGTATCATTGCTGTTGTTAGCACTGATTATTGCAGTATGTGGCGTATTGCCAATTGCTACCATCTGCTGCAGGCCAGCCAGGTCGGCAACGAGGCGGTAGATGCTCTGGAGACGGCGAAGGAGCCTCCCCATTTATGCTCTCGGACATGTCGGCCCGGTGCAAGCATAATCTAGGGTTTTGGTATGAGGCTTCTGGGTAGGCTTCGAAAGGTGCGAAGTGCGCCCACAGTGTTCCTGAAGCCTGACGGCCGGTGTGTGGCATCGCTACGGTGAGCATGCCATGGTGTCGAGTTCTTGGCTTGTTGCTTCCGAATGATGTACCCTCCGTGTTTCAAGCCAGCGGGCTAGTGGTGAACTGCTGAGGGCCGAGGGTTTGAGTCGTGTAAGTTTGTTTTCCCCTGGTAAAGGGCATCGATTCTGGGTGGTGCCGATACGGATACGTCTGTTTTCTCGAAGGCTGCAAATTGGTGTCATTGGTCACTGCATGACCCGGTCAGCGTCCGGTTAGGTTCCGGTGTGCTATCCGTTTGCTGCTTCGTTTGTGCAGATGACCTTCATACCATCAGCGAGTGCAACAGCTCCCCAAAACTGTTCAGGCCACACACCGAAATCCCTGCTTTCAAAATTTTTGCCACCCACATATCTGCATCGACTGCCACAGGGCCTTGCGGCTTCAAATGCCCACGTCTGACAGGCCACCTTGACGATGTCCGAGCCCGATCGGAAAATCCTTTTAACGACCACGTCGAACACGTCAGTGTGGATGCGAGACTTCAATCGTTCATCCTTTTGGTTTGAAGCCTGCAGGAGTACTTCGGAACTCCACTGAAGGCGCAGCATGTTTTTTCGTTGAATGCTGTCGGAGGTTCAATTTGTAACATTAGCAATGGTTGTGGCTCGCAGATCAAGTCGACGACCCTCGAGCAATCCATACTAAGAGGGTGCGCTGTGGCATCAATGGTTTGCGGCAAGGGGTGGGTTGCCGACAGTCTGTGTAAGGCACCGTTCGGATCAAGTCAAAGTCGCATCAACGGCAAGAGGGAGAATTAAAAGTAAACACGACTTAGATTGTACGGCTGCGCAGCTTCCTCGACCAGACGTGAAGACCCAGTTCAAAGTTGGCGTGCAGCGGAAGATGCCCGACTGCCTCCTAACATGCAAAGCGTCGAGCCCACGAGTCCGAAGCAGGGACAGGTCTACATCAGCAGTCGCCGGTGAAGCTTGCAGCAGGTTGGGCAAACCTCCAGCACCCCTAGGCTTGTTGTGGCTCCCGTGTCCAGAAGCAAAGCGGGTGCCCTTACCGCTTACCCTTACGAAACCACGAGGCCCTAGGCAAGAACCCTAGGCAGACCCGATCCGAAGGTCTCAGGTCTGTCGGAAGAGCAGCGCATCTCGCCCGCAGCATTGAGGTTACTCAGCTTTCAGCATTTTGGGTTCCAGGCGCTGGACTTCGGATCGTTGGATTTTCTCCCGAAGTGGGACGTCAATTGGTCTAGAGAGATCTTGTCGCGGATCTGTCCGGTTTCTGCTAAGCTCTGGCTTTGTTGAGGGTTTACGGCAGTATCGGGTGGACATGGCGTAGTATTAGTTGCCCCACAGCAGGCCAGAATGGCATCACACAGATTCCCAAGAGCTTCCCATCTTCAGAAAATACTTTCAGGGTGGTGGTCGGAGCCTGTGAGACTGCATGCAGGAAAGTTTCTGAAACAAGCCATGCAAGCTTGCAGCCCCTTGGCTGCAATTCCTCTTCCGTTGCGAGACAGCAGCGTATCCACGTACTGCAAACTCAGAACAGTAAGCCTCTCGAGGCAAATGAGCAGGTTTCTGGAGAGCATAACAGGTAGCGAGGTGATGATGCAATAGTCATCTACATCATGCCATCCCAGCAAAACCACTAAGCACCATCACATGTATTATCACGGTTGCCAGTATCGTTGGAATCATGAATCATCATGCAGTCTGGTGGATCAGCACCGCCATCATTATCACCAGCATCAGCAAACTCATCTGTATCGTCATCTTCCTCTTCATCTTCATCACGGTCATCAGCATCATTACCATCATCATCATCATCATCGTCACCGTGATTTTCAGTGTCGCTACGGTTACCAGCCTGCGCAGCACCAGCATCGACAATCCAGTGATGTGGGAGATGTTGTTGTTCCTGATTTTGGCTTTTGCTGGCAACAACGACGCGAGGAGGACGACGACGACAAGGACGACGTGGTTGTGCTTATGCTTGTGCTTGTGCTTGTGGTTGTTGCTGTTGCTGTTGCTGTTGTGGTTGTTGGAGTTGTTGCGGTTGTTGTGTTGTTGTTGGTGGTTGGTGTTTGGTGGTGTTTTTTTTTTTTTTTTGTTGTTGTTGTTGGTGGTGGTGGTGGTGGTGGCGGTGCCATGGTGGTGGTTGGTGTTTAGTGGTGTTTGGGTCGTGGTTGTGGTGGTTGTTGTCGTTGTTGTTGTTGTTACACCATGACAGCTAAACTTAGGGTCGTCCGCGGACACGACTAGACTCAGCACAAGCGTGGCTCTCCTTTCCACTTCCGCAGGGGGACTGCCTGATCTGTAACAGTGGCAGGCCAGCGAAGAAGGAGCGAACAGCAGAACCACCAGTGCAGCCTTACTCAATGTTGTCGTTGTCGTTGTGGTTGTGGTTGTGGTTGTGGTTGTGGTTGCGGTTGTGGTCGTGGTCGTGGTCGTGGTTGTTGTTGTTCTTGTTGGGGTTGTTGATGACATTGTTCGTCTTCTCCATTTTACTGTCGTGTGTTGTGGTTGTGGTTGTATTTGTTGTTGTTTGTTGTTGATGTGGTTGCCTGTTTGTGCATGTCGATGCTTGTTGTTGCATGTTGATGCATGTTGCTATTCTTGCTGCAAGTGGTTTCATGTCGTATCAGGTCGTCGCATCTTTCTGCATCTTGCTGCAAAATGTTGTAAGCTGTATGTTGCTGTATCATTTTGTTGTATTTTAGTTTTGGCATTATGTTGTTGCTATTTTGTTGTTGCATTATTTTATAATATATTGTTGTATTATATTGGTATAGTACTTGGCTATACTATGTGTTATGGTGTTACATTGTTGTATTTGGTGTGGTACTTGTTGTTGTTGCTACTGCTACTGCTACTGCTGCTGCTGCTGTTGTTGTTGCTGCTGTTATTGTCGTTGTCCGTTGTTGTGGTTGCTGTTGTAGCTGCTGCCGCTGCCGCTGCTGCTGCTGCTGCTGCTGCTGCTGCTGCTGCTGCTGACTCTGAGGGTGGTGATGACGGTGCGATGATTATATATGATGATCGTGATGCTGATGTCCGTGGTGATGATGACGGTGATGATGATGATGATGATGGCGATGATCATTGCGATGGCGTTGGCGATTGCTAATGTGTCGATGATGCTGATGAAGCTGACGATGATGATGATGATGATGACGATGACGGTGGTGCAAGCAGCGATGATCGCGGTGGCGGTGCTGGCGCTGGTTTCAGTGCTGGTGCTGGGTAGGAAAAAGCAAGGCACCACAACACTGGGAAAGACCTTGGCATGGCCACACCAAGCACAACTCCTGCAGCGTGGGGCCATGCGGGGGAAAAGCAATCCAAGTAGAACAGGGTCGTGCTAACACCTAGGAAAGGCTACGAAAAAGGGGTTCCGCTAAAATTCGGACAAAAATCAGTCATTGGAGAAACTCTCCGCCTCCTGTTGAATCAACATCACAAGCAGTATGTACATTGTACATGACTCTTGTCTTGTGTCTTGGCTGTTCATCTTGCCAATCTCACCATCATTCTCAGATTGATCATTGGCAGCAGAGCCGGCATCACCTTCATTTCGTTTCTATGTGCTCTCGTTTCTATGTCCGTCATCACAAAGCTTTTTGGCACGTTCATGTTCATTGTTGTCATCGGCATCAACGCAGTGCCCCCCAACACTAGTAGCAACACTAACACTGCATTCTGTTGCCATGGTCACCGCCGCCATCATCGAACGATCGCCATCTCTTTGTCCACTGCCAAACACATGATCGTTAGCCTTCACCAAGATTCTCCTACGTGCATGCCCGCCGAGGAGACAAGTTGGACCGCTTCCTGGAGCCTTGACCGTCCAAGCTTTGGGAGCGCGAGCGGTCTTGGTGGGTTGTTTTCGTATATTCGTATATCATTCCCCTGAGTGTCTACCCGAGTGCCAAAGTCCCCAACGGCGAGCCTTTGATCATGGTATTGCCTGCATTGCGCCAGTCTCGTAATTATGCAGCACTGTCGGTGATGCGCTTGCTGGTTTTCGTGTTGGTTTCGTGCAGCCAGTATCCTCACTGGAACTTGCTCGCCTTTGTCTAGAACAACATCCTTGCACGAATCTAGCAGGAAAGCAAAGTGCCTGCACGTACAACAGTATGCACGCATGCGCTTGTTCCCCTGTTCACATACCAGATAGAACGGAATAGACACCGTATGCTCGCGACAAGTTTGTTCACATCACTTGCTTCTTGTGCTGTGATGTAACCTTGTGTGTGCACATACCCACATGTTATCAGTCAAAAAACACATAGTAGCTGTACGGACAGATTCGCAAATTATGTCCTGGGTGTGTTTACAAGACGTTGTATTTTCGGCATGATACTGTTCAGCGACGTTGCAGCATCACGTCAAACGAACTCAGCCTTCCGCCATACTTCGCACCTTGACTTAGCGCTGTTAACAGTGCGCCGCTGCAATTCGCCGGGGTTGTTGTGCTCCGGAGGCCTACATACCTGACGATGTGGTAAACAAGGCTCGCA